GAACGGCCCGTTCCACATTTGGAACAGCCCGTTCCAAAATTACCAAAACATCCTACACCTTTATAAAAATTTACGAAAATGCCATTAATAGATAATAATAAAAAAATGTGTATTACAACTTTCCTGCATAATCTAATATGAGGATGTTATGAGGCTTTAGTTTAGTTACTGTCTTTCCAAACCTTTTCAGCATGGTTCTTGGGAGTATATTTATGGCTGCTCCTTCATCAACCAATACTTTATTCACTTCATGTACCTCGATCATCAAAGTTAATAATAAAGGCTTAAGATGAGCCTTCATATTCTCAGTAGGAGAATCAAACACAGCTGAGTTAAATTTGCTCATTAACGGATTCCATGGCCCCAACATATTCAAAAGGTAAAATCGACACTATCCCACAAATATCTTCCAAAGAGTCGTGAAAATCACTCTCGAAGCAATCAGTTATCATATCTTCATCATCCTCCATGAACTTTCGAGATGACTCTCCTTTCTGAGGTACCGGGATCAAGAAACGATTCCCTCTAAAACCCTCAAATGTAGCTTTCCTAATTCTCTGTCGTCGCCTCCACTGGGTCTTAGTCAAATTATTAAAAGGTTGTCTAAATCCACGCCCATAACTTCCAGACATGTTCGAGAATTTACCAGGAACTCCAGAAAAATTTAAGAATTTCCCAGGAATTCCCAGGAATGTAGGCCCAACATAATTCATGACCTGTTTCCCTCGACCCATTCCAGCCATTTGCCTTGGTGGAGCATTCAATTTTTCAACTGGGACATTAGCGTTTGGTACAAAAGTATTGCCAAATTTTGATGAGTTATGCATCTCCATTTTTCCCATGAGTATTATACTGAGGCATACGTATCTGCCTCATTGTCAATGCAGCATTTGGTTTTACCTTTTCTCGAAGCTTTTCAACTCTGTAGCTTTTTCGATTCCTCGAAGGCTTTAGCAACAGCTCTGTCGAATACTGCATTGTATTGAGAACAAAGCATAACTTCCCTATCAGCATCCTTTTTCTTAGACAGAAATTCGACCAAACTATCTCCCTCATTTGGATAAATAGGTTCCTCCTCTTTGGCAAAGTCATCCAACAGTTCTTCGAGTTTTTCATCAGAGATGGGTTCGACATTCTCATCCTCCTCGATATTCACTTCGACCATGTTGATCCCCATCGATATTGGTTCTACATACCCAGTATGAGCTGCAAATGAATCAGTATCCACTTTCATATCCTTCTCCTCGAAAGCTAGACGATCCTTAGTGATCGCCTTCTCGATCATATCCCTGAAACGCACACAATTATTAGTCCAATGACCATACATATTATGATACTTACAGAATTTCTTCCCTTTTCTTTGTTCGAATGGAGAAATTTTATGGTTTTCTGGTAGTGCAATATGTTTATCTTTTAACAAAATATCAAATATTTTATCAGCCTTAGTCACATCGAAACTATATCGCCTAATTGTACTCCCTTCCATCTCCTGGTTTTAACATTTGGCATTGATAGGTAGGGTCAGGACGTAATTCAGCTATGTTAACTTCAAAATCCTCACTCGAACCCTCACAATTAGCATCTTCACCGATCTCTGTGTTTTCTACATAAGCCACCTTTTCTTTTCAAACAAATCTGTCAAACTTTCTTAATCTTTCATTTTCTAACTTAATTTGCTCGATCCTTCTTACTTTTTCTGCTAATTGGGCCATATCTCTTAACTGTTCGTTTACCAATTTTTTTCGAATCGAAAAGTCTAACCCCATGGCGGCAATTTTAACCAATTCATGTTCAGGAATATTCGTATAACATCGAGACTTCAACTACCTGAACCTATTCAAATAGTCATCCAATGTTTCATGATTTTGTCTTTTTATATTCATTAAATCAACTATGCTCACTTTGGTTTCTCCTCGAAAAAAATGTTCATGAAAATTACCTTCTAACTGAGCCCAAGTATTAATTGAATTAGGGGCTAAAGTCGTAAACCAGGTAAAAGTATGCTTAGTCAGCGAACTTGGAAAGTAATTCATTTTTAAATATTCATTATTTCCTAAATCTCCACATTCGACTACATACCTTGCTATATGTTCGACGGTAGACTCATTCAATTCTCCCGCAAATTTTGAAAATTTCGGGACTTTTGCCCCCCTAGGCAATTCTACCTGAGTTACGTATTCTAGAAAAGCATACACAAAATAGGGACGTTCATTTCGACCTACCTCGAAACCATGTCTGTTTAGTACCCTTTCTACAATTTGATCTAAATTTTCATCAAGATTTCTATGAGGTCTACCTAATTTTTGAGGGAAGCCTACATTCCCACCTTGATTTTCCATATCGTTCAAGTTCGCACTCATGGCTCTCGATGGTGGATTGTCTCCCATTTTATCTCCTGTTTTATTTATTAACTCATATAGAGGGGTTAGTATATTATGCATCTAAGTCGATAATAAATTAACCATATCATGATTACTATGGTCCATCTGTTGTCGAAGGGCCATCATAGTTTGATTACTTATATCTGTGGGGACATAGTTACTTTGTCGAACCAGAGATCCCTCATGACTTGTCCCTACATGTTGATAAGGATCATGCATGATAAATCCCATTCCATTTGGTCCAGGATTGTATCCTTGTGGGGATACATGCATCTGTGGATTTGGCCCTAAATAAGGTACTAGCATCTCTACATGTATGGGTTGAGTAGTTCGCCAATTTTGCGGCATACCCCATGGGTAGTCTCTAGTGGCATTTGTGAATTCTTGGGATACATTCGTTTGCCTAGCCACATTTTCGAGCACAACAAGAGGTGATGTTGCCCCCCTTGTCACAGTAATCACATTATCTGGATTTGGATTTCTGTTCTCTACATCCACTTGATTATCATTGTTCACTTCTCTCCTATTAGACGTAGACATGGTTCTTCCACTCCTAAGTCTCATAAAACATACCTAAAACTAGTTCATTTATGTTTTTAATAAAACAGGTCCCACCGGGCGTGCCAATTTGTTTGTGGTGGAATTTGTTTATGAGTTCTTTTTATTTGAACTAGCATGAAATCGTTTCAATTTAGGTATTTTACAATTAAATTTGTTAAACTTACTTAAAAACAGAAATAGACGAGACAGAACTAATTAATAAACATTTGTTTCCAGATTTTCATGAATGATGATCAAACAGTAATTCGCATGCATATAGCAAAATGAATAATACATACATTGACAATACAAAGCATTGTCCACTTCGCATAATGATCAGGTTACAATATCAAAATTAAACAACTTACAAACTACGGAATTAAAAGAAGAAACTACACTAATCCTAGAAAAAGAAAATGTGGTCAAGAATTTGCATACCCAGCAATTCCAAGCACGAAAGCCATATGCACAGGCGGTGAGTGCTTGAGAGTGTAAGTATGATTTTTTCCGACCTCTGTGAAGGGGTATGTTTCTCATATTTATAGAGTTAGTCAAGAATGGTTATGAGCGGTTAATTCTGTGAAAGTATATCGTGGGTGCGTAACTGTTGTCCACTACGCCAATTACATGGATTAAATGTAACCTCTCATAACCATTCACCCCACGTTCTTTATTTTTTCGACTAACTTTAGTAACTACCTTAGTGTAACTACTTAACTACTCAAAAACCTTCAGTAACTCCCTCTTGTATTTTTTGATCAATCCTCGAGTAGACAGGCTCATGGTTTCTGATATTCTTTTTTGGTAGATACCTCTTCAATCCTCCTCCTTTTCGAGTGATTTCAAAAAGTATATTTTTCGAGTGACCCTAATAGTGACACACTAAAGATAATGTCTCCGCACAATAAATATCATACATAATCATGGGGATACCCTTGAAACGATTATGCAAAATCATCTCCTAAAAACACACGATTGAATTAATTATGGAATTAACCATGCATATATGGGATATCAGGTATCACACTAACCTTATTCTCATTCTTAATCTTGACTTCTCTTTGATAACTTGAACATTAGAGTGTCTTTGTAAATGCCCCTATAACTATTAATATTAAAGCAACTAGAAAGTCATCCTAACTATTGTATCACTTATATAAATTCTAATAAAAATACCTCGTTTGATAATTTGTGTTTTCATTTTAGATATCTTTATCCTTGAATCCTAATCACACACTATATATTTAATTTTCGTACTTTTTAAAATCACTCTCCCCTTATTTAAAAAAAAGAAAAAACAACTTGCTCCCACTAATTAGTGTTTGTTAATGTCTTTCACTTTCAATATTTTTTTTTCTCTTACAACTATCTTCTTCAAAAATTATTTTTCTTTAAAAGTAAATATATTTAGATATATAAATATCTCATTTTCTTCTTACACTATAAGAAACATTACATATAATAATATTTAAAAAATATCAATATAAATATAATATATATAATTATAAATTTATTTAATATATAATTATATATAATTTTAATATTAATTTTAAATAAAATTTAAAAATATATATATATTATGTATCACTATAACCTATACATACATTTTTTAATAATATATCAATATTTATGATATCCAGTATAGATAAAATCAATTTATGATATCAAGAAATGTGAGACGACAAATATTTTAGTGTTAGAATATATAAACACTCTTGTATATTAAACACCCATAAGCCTACCATTTATCTTGTGTTTTTTTATTTATTTATGTAAAATCATATATGTAATTCTACATATATCCTCTCTCGGGTATTAATATTAGCAATTAATTAGGTGTTCATCAATAATTTTGCATACGTTTATTAGTACTCTTTCACAAAAGTATTCCTTGAAAAAGATGAGGAGAGTGAATGACTTTCAGCCTCTCATCTGCGGAGACCACCGAACTCACGAAAATGATCCCACAGCTTAAAATTGGTTATTTTATGTGTCGATTACTTTTTCAGCCTTATCATAATATAATAAACTCCTTTCAATTAACTTTTATCTTTATATATTAATAAAGGCACACACAAAGGCAGAAGTGGGTTTTGAACTGTCAATCATTCACATTTTGTTCCGAAGTTGAACCTGCAACAAGATCCTGGCAACTATGGATGCACCGTCTTTGCACATAGCAATATTTCCATGGTTTGCCATGGGACACCTAACCCCAAATCTCCACCTCTCCAACAAGCTAGCAAAGAGAGGGCACAGAATCTCCTTCTTCATCCCCAAAACAACACAAACCAAGTTGCAACATCTCAACCATCACCCACACCTCATCACCTTTTTCCCCATCACAGTTCCTCGTGTCGATGGCCTTCCTCACGATGCTGAAACCACTTCAGACTTGCCCTTCTCTTTGTTCCCACTTCTCGCCACAGCTATGGATCGCACAGAGAAGGAAATCGAACATCTCCTAAGGAAACTAAAGCCACAAATAGTTTTCTTCGATTTCCAACATTGGATACCAAACCTAACACGAAGCTTGGGCATCAAGTGCATGCACTACTTCATAGCTAATCCGTTGTCAATAGCTTACCTTTGGAACGGACCAAGGCAGACCCAAGGAGGAGAATTGACCGAGGCTGATCTCATGAAACCACCTAAGGGGTTCCCTGATTCATCCATCAAGCTTCATGCACATGAAGTTCGGTTTCTGGCTGCAACAAGAAAACTCGAGTTTGGAAGTGGTGTTTTGTTGTACGATCGTTTGGGCATAGGTGCAAGCTTGGCAGATGCAATTGGATTCAAAGGTTGCAAAGAACTTGATGGGTTATATGCGGAGTATCTTGAATCTGTGTATGAGAAGCCTGTTCTTCTTTCAGGGCCTCTTTTACCTGAGCCCCCAAACTCTACTTTGGAGGAAAAATGGGTTGCATGGCTTGGGGGATTCAACCCTAGTTCTGTTATTTTCTGTGCATATGGAAGTGAAACCCCGTTATCGCAAAATCAATTTGAAGAGTTGTTGCTTGGTCTTGAACTAACAGGTTTTCCATTTCTTGCAGCACTTAAGCACCCTAATGGATTTGAGTCTGTTGAAGAAGCTCTGCCACAAGGGTTCAGAGAAAGGGTTCAAGGAAGAGGTATTGCTTATGGAGGTTGGGTGCAGCAACAATTGATTTTGGAACACCCTTCTGTGGGGTGCTTCATAACGCACTGTGGAGCTGCTTCTGTTACTGAGGCACTTGTGAATACGTGTCAGTTGGTGCTTTTACCAAGGCTAGGTGCTGATCATGTCATGAATGCGCGAATGTTGAGTAGAAAGTTAAAGGTTGGAGTGGAAGTAGAGAAAGATGAAGAAGGGTTGTTTACAAAAGAAAGTGTATGTGAAGCAGTGAACACTGTGATGGATGATGGGAATGAATTAGGAAGAGAAGTAAGAGAAAATCATGTTAAATTGAGAAATTTCTTATTAAGCGATAATTTAGAGTCGTCGTGTGTTGATAGTTTCTGTCAAGGACTTCATGATTTACTTTAAATTATATGTAAACATGTATGCTCGATGTGCTGTCGGTTAATAAAATATTTTATTTTCTGTCTGGTATAGAATAACAATTTCATAAGATCGTATATATTTACTTGTTTCTTAATGATACAGAAGATAAAGACGCTCCGATATCTAGAAAGATGTGCTTTTGTAATGATTATTCCAGAAAAATATAGAAAACTACATATTATAATAGAAGCATATCGAAATGTGTAAAAATTTTCATTATAAACCGTGATCACATGACAGGGAAGTCATGTGATATATATATATATAGGAGGCATTGTGAGAGAAGAGATGGTTAAAATATAAGTCTTAAATTAATTAAATGAGAGAAAATTTGAAGTTTAATTATATAAAAGAAAATTAATCTAAGGTCATATTTTGACCCTCTCATCTCTCATAATAAATTCTTTCTCACTTGATATGCTCTATATATATATATATATATAAAACATATCAAGTAAAAAAAAATTTATTATGAAAAATAAGAGAGTTAAAATATAATTTTTAAATTAATTTCTTTTTAGTTGATTAAATTTTAAATTTTCTCTCACTTAATTAATTTAAAAATTATATTTTAACTTTTTTATTTTTTATAATAAATTTTCTCTCACTTAATATGCTTTATATATATATATATATAAATAATAATACATCCTTCAAATAAGAATCATCTTTCAAAATTTAAAATATTAATATTTTATAATTTAAATTAATATTTTAATAATTTGGAATGATTTTCAAAACCTTCTTTCGAACCATCTGTCATTTTTCTATATATTTTGCATATGTATTTCTATGGATGTAGAAAATTGTTTTTACATGTCCATTGCATCCTTTTAAATTATTTACACTCCACTATTTTTTTCTAATTCTTATTTTCATTGGAAAAAATTTAATTTTTTGAACATTAAGATGAAGATTTTTTTTTTTTTTCAAGATTTATGATACGTTATAAAAAATGGACTTACTATTACAAAATACACCTTTAACTCTTACTATAATTCAAAGGAAAGAGTTAAGGGAAATCAAATACGAGGATTTAAGAGCGTTATTTGTTCTTTAACAAATAATTGATGACACAATTTTTTCAAGAATAATAGGTGTTACAAGTGTAAAGGAAGCTTGGAACACAATACAGGAGAAGTTTCAAGGAAGTTATAAGATACAAAATGTTAAACTTCATTCCCTAAGACGTGAGTTTGAATTATTAAAAATGAAAGAATTTGAGACTATAAAGAATTACTATTTTAGAATAAAATACATAGTTAGTTAGATGAGAGTCTATGTAAAAATATTATTGACAAAAAAAATTATTGAACAAATTCTAATTTTTATTCCCTTGCAACTGCGATTGAATAAACAAATTATTTGTTTACATAGTGACACAACTAATAATGGTCTCTTTTGAAACCAAAGATTGAAAATGAGAGAAGACTTTATCATAAATGTATTTTAATCAAAGTTAAAATTATGGTCTCAAAATAAAGTATATGGAGCAAATAAAAACACTGGAGAAATTTCTATAAATAAAGAAAATTCTAAAAGTTTCTCTAAGATCAATTGAGGAAAATATCCTCCATGTGGCATTTGTAAAAGGACAACGCACTTGGAGAGAGATTATTGGCAACGTGGAAAATCTCAATGTTAACACTGCAAGAAATTTGGATACGTGAAGAAAAATTGTCACAACAAAAATTAACAATAAGCAAATTTTTTTGAAGAGAAAAATAATAAGCAACATATTTTCTATGCTACTCGATATTCTAACAATGAATCAAAAGGAAGATGGTTCTTGGATAGTAGGTGTAGTAATCACATGACTAATGATCTGAGTGTCTTCAAAGAAATTGATAACTCGATCAAAGTTCAAATATGATTGGGGAATGATGCCATGATAGAGTCAAAAGGAAAATGCACTATCATAGTAGAGGTTAAGAAAGGCATAAGACTCATTAACAATGTCCTACTAATTATTCTTAATCTTAAAGAAAATCTAATAATCATTGGCCAAATATAATAGAGAAAGGCTATGCTCTTCTCTTTGAAAGAGATATGTGTTATCTATGATAACTAAAGGCTAGAGATAATTCAAGTTAAAGTGAAGAAAGGAACCAAATGCTTTCCAATAAATTTTAAATATGCTATACTAACATTTCCATAAAAGCTCAAGTTAGTGATTTATGACAATGAAATCCAAGATTTGGTTATTTCAACACTCAAGCCTTGAAGCTACTATATATCAAAAGAATATAATAAGAGATCTTTTAGTTTTAAAATAAAATAATGAAGCATGTAAAGGATTCCTTCTAAGAAATTAAAGCAACATATAGACTATCATTTTCTACATAAAAAGCTTGGAGAGCAAGTACTTCATGCTTTTCATCAACGACTTTTCTAGAATGAATGCGTGAATGTTGAGTAGAAAGTTAAAGGTTGGAGTGGAAGTAGAGAAAGATGAAGAAGGGTTGTTTACAAAAGAAAGTGTATGTGAAGCTGTGAACACTATGATGCATGATGGGAATGAATTAGGAAGAGAAGTACGATAAAATCATGCTAAATTGAGGAATTTCTTAGTAAGCGATAATTTAGCGTCGTCGTGTGTGTTGATAGTTTCTGTCAAGGACTTCATGATTTACTTTAAACTATATGTAATCATATATGCACGAATGTGCTGTCGGTTAAATAAAATATTTTATTTTCTATCTATTATAGAATAACAATTTCATAAGATCGTATTATTATATTTGCTTGTTTCTTAATGATACAGAAGATGAAGATGCTCCAATATCTAGAAAGATGTACGCTTCTAATGATTATTCTGGAAAAATATAGAAAACTACATATTATAATATTAACATATCGAAATGTGTGAAATTTTTCATAATAAACCGTCTTCTCTTTGAAAGAGATATATGTGTTATCTATGATAACTAAAGGAAAGAGATAGTTCAAGTTAAAATGAAGAAAGGAAACATATGTTTTTCAATAAATTTTAAATATGCTACTAACACTGTCATGAAAACGCAAGTTAGTGATTCATGACTACGACATCCAAGATTTGGCCACTTCAACCCTCAAGCCTTGAAGCTGCTATATCAAAAGAATATGATGATAGATCTTTTAGCTTTAAAATAAAATAATGAAGCATGTGAAGGATGCCTTTTGGGAAATTAAAGCAACATAGCTACCATTTTCTATCGAAAAAGCTTGGACAGCAAAAGACTTAATGGAGTTGATCCACACTAACATTTGTAAACCAACGAGGACACCATCACTTTATAATAAGTACTTCATGCTTTTTATCAATGACTTTTCTAGAATGATGTGGGCCTACTTCCTTAAAGAAAAATTAGAAGTTTTTGGGTGTCGTAGACTGCCCACGTGAAAAAGACATCTTTGGAGTAAAATGGGTATATAAAACAAAGCTCAATCCAAATGGAACTATACAAAAACACAATGCAAGATTGATCACTAAAAGCTACTCTTAACAACCTAGAATTGACTATAATGAGGCATTTGCTCCAGTAGCTTACCTAAATACAATTAGAGCTTTAATAGCTCTTGCAGCACTAAAAGGATGGAACATCTTCCAATTGGATGTCAAATTAACCTTTCTAAATATAGTTCTTTAGGAAGAGATTTATGATGAGAAATCACAAGGCTTCATCAGCAAAGGTAATGAAGGAAAATTGCTAAGATTGAGAAAAGCCTTATACGGCTTGAAGCAAGCTCTTCGAGCATGATATAGCAAAATCGAGCAATACTTCACCGGTTAAGAATTTAGGAGGAGCAAGAGTGATCCAACACTATATCATCAAGACACTAGGTCAGTATGATCTCATTGTCTCCCTATACGTTGACAATCTTATCTACATAGGAAACAATATAAAGATGATGAAAAAATTCAAAGAAGACATGATGAAGACATTTGAGATGACCAACCTTGGCTTGATGTATAAGTGAAAGATATATATTAAAGCTTTACTAAAGAAGTTCAAGATGTATGGTTGTAAACTTGTTACTACTCTATTAGTCGTAAATGAGAAGCTACAAAAAAAAGATGGAGCACCAGAAGCAGATGCACCAAGTTCTAGGAGTTTGATTAGAAGCCTTCTATATCTCACAACCACATAGCTAGACATCATGTATGCCACAACTCTTCTATCAAAGTTCATGTAGAAGCCAAGTCAAATTAACTATGGAACAGAAAAAAGAATTATAAGATATCTACAAGGCACGAGGGAGTTTGGTATATGATACAAAATCATAATCAACTTAAGGATGATTGACTTCACCGACAATGATTAGGCAGGATCATGATTTTTTTATTGGCACTAGTACAAAAGAGGTATTCCACGTCGGATATTTTGAGCTTTTTACGTTAGAAAAAATACCGACGTAGATGCGGGAGACGTAAATTTACGTTGGTACTTTAAAACCGACGTAAATTTACGTCGGACATTACAAAATCCGACGTAAAAAAGTAGTAAAAAGAACAAAAAAAAATATAAGAATGCAAGCAGAATGGTCGTTCTGCTTGTAGAACGACCCGTTCTCCAAGCAGAACGGCCCGTTCTCCATTCAAAACGTCCCGTTCTGTAAGGAGAACGGGCCATTCTGCAAGCAGAACAAGCCGTTCTGCTTCGTAGAACAACCCAAAAGAAAAGGCCAACAACCTATACAAATAGAACATCCAAAAAATCAAATAGAACAGATAGCCACAATAACAATGCGAAGCAAAAAAGTGTTAACGAAACCTTGATTCATACCTGATGAGAACAGTGTGCGAATGAGTAACAAAGAGTTCACCCCTCTGCAAAAGACAAAAAAACGATTCAGTAACAAAGGAGAGGGAGAGAGTTTACAGAGAAAAAAACAAAAAGTGATGAAAAGTGAATGCACGCGGTGTGCCTCGCACTCTCTTATACATCCGACATAGATTTGACTTTTTACGTCAGACCATACCAGGTCCGATGTAAAAAAGTTCGCAAAAATTACAAAAATGTCACCGCGTCTTTTTTATGTCGGATTTTCGTATTTCCGACGTTAAAGAAGTGACGTAATATACTAATTTTTCACTAGTGTGGACATTAAAGAAGCAAGTAATTGTAGCACAACCTACAATGACAACAAATCAACAATACCAATGATTAAGAATCTAGTCCATCATCAAAGAACAAAACACATAACTATTAAATATCACTTCATTCGAAAAGCGAAGACAATAAAATAAATTCAACTCAAATATTGTACAACATAAGAATAAGTTATAGACATTATGAAGGCACTACCAAAAATAAGATTTGAACAACTACGAACAAGACTTGAAATTACCAAAATTTACGTCAAGGAGGAATGATGAAAATGTTACAATTTCAAAAAAGTTATACTTTTCTAATGATTAGTGTAGAAAAATATAGAAAAGTACAATTATAATAGAAACATATTGAAATGTGTAAAATAATTTTCAATTATAAACCGCCTTTAGATGATGGTGATGTGATGTCTATATATATATATATATGTATATTGCATATGTACCTCCGCAGATGTAGGAAAAAAAAATTTACACGTGCATTGCTTCCACTATTTTTTCTAATCTACTACTTCCCTACGTACCTTCCTATTTTTTTTAAAAATTCTATTAGAATCACATATTGTTGAATGTTTTGTGTTAATTTAATTAGAAAGTGTATATTTTAATATTTATACATTAGTTGTTAAATTTATCTTGATATTACAAAAATATTATCATAACATACTCCATTAATCTCATAGATATTACAGTAATTTTTCAATATTAATGGTTTTTTCTATAACATACTCCCACTTTTATAAGGGTTCTTTTTTTTATAAGATATCATATTTATTAACATTGTGATGACGTGTCAGTAGTATAAAATATGTATTTTATGTTACTGTATTCATGTCAGAAAATGAAATATCTAACATAAAAAATACGTGATGATATTTTTAAAATTAATCCAAACTTTTTTATATCGGACTAAAGAGGGTCTGATATGTCACTAGTTTATTTTTTTGTTTGTCTGTTAACTATTTTACGTCAGATGTGGAGGATGTTCGACATAATTTTATGTCAGCTAAAACATCCAACGTAAATTTACGCCTCTCACATTGATATAGACTATTTTTTGACATAAAAGTCTAAAATAACATATGTAAGATGTTTCTTTTGTAGTAGTATGTGGACGTGTAGGAGCCATTTGATGACACATCTCACGGGGCAACTACGTGGGTCTTAATTAAGTGCCACGAAACTCATGGCGTGGAACTTACGAGATGAGGTAGCTGGATTGTGTGCAACGTGGAAAGGAATCAAATGGTATAAAGTTTGGTTTAATTAACGTGGTCAGTCTCAAGTCATACGTATAAGAGGATATGTTGGCAACCGGACATAAGATACAAATAAACACACGAGGTTGGTGCAATGCTTGGGATATGATGTGGGACAATTTAGGTAGTGATAATTATCTCTGTGAAAAGTTGTAATTGGTGATTAATTTAATTATATAAATTAAGCTCAACTTTAATAGTTATATAATGGGGTTCTCGTACCCCTTTACCAGTATAATATATATA